CGGCTTGAGTGGTACACGCTTCCGAAATGTTGAAGAAGTGCGAGAATGGGTGGACGAATGGATTGCTTCGAAACAAACATCGTTTTATCGAGATGGTATCGCCCAGTTGCCAGAAAGATGGCAAAAAGTTGTAGAAAGTGATGGAAAATACTTTCATTGAAATAATTTAAATAAATTTTTTACAATAAATGCTTTTTCTCAGTATTTTTTGGGCGGAAACTAAGTTAAGGTCCTAATATATTTCTTTGGACTTCATATTCATTTACTTCTAGGATATTTATTACATTTTCCTCTGGATGACAAAATAATTTTAGATCTTGCAGTTTCTTCAATTTTTAAAATAAATGAAATTATTAAACGCAATGACTTATGAATATATTGAGTTGTAAGACGTCTCTTAAGTTCAGGTACTATTAACTGAAAGGCAAAAGCTTTTATTCTTTTGCGTGAAGAATGAGTCATATTGAGCTGAAGATTAGGAAAATTATTTTCATAAAAGTAACGTTAACGGTACAATGGGGTCACTGTGACCCCAAACGAAAAACATGCATATAATTCATAGCTACTTAGAAATAATTTAATGATCTTTTCTTCTGTCACACTGAAAACTGTTACTCGAAAAGTACTGAAGATATTAGCGCCATACAGTTAGGAATTATCACGAAAATAAAATTAGTTGGGATCCCCATTATACTTGTTACGGATTAAGAATTAAAGCAAGGTTGTGGACAAGGGGTTACAGGAGGCTTAAGGGGATGCTGGAGTCGATGACGAACAATGTCGATAATGCAAGGACGATCGTCACTAACATAATCACGTTATCTTTTTTGTATTTCTTATACAGAATTTATATGAATGTGTATTGCTTTGTTTTACCATATTCAACGGAAAACCTAACCATATATGTGTAGAAATCTTTCTGCAAACTTTTTCGATATTTTTAAGCTTTCAAAGGTAGATGCGAGGGTAGAGCAGTGTTCTTCAAAGTTTTTCTGTTTGCAGCATCCACACATTCAACATGTACAAGCTGCGAAACTTTTGGATTAGACAAATATTACGCTAACTGACAGATTGAAATTTTACATTAAAAATTTTTTGTTCGTTTTCGTCACATATCGAGCAATGTTCCAATTTATTTTTGCACGTACTTTTATTA